AGTCTTGAAGTATGAAATACCAAAAGCAGTGTGATTAAGTCACATAAATTACAGCTGGAAAACATAATACAAAATAAAGGTTCTCAGAAGGTATTACGACCTTAAGCATTAAGTGTTTTTCATGTGCTCTGCTTTTACGTTATGCTATCATGGTCACTACACTACATTAAAGTGCTCATTATGGTAAAAGAAATAGGATTGGAAAGCAACACAGTTATTTTCCCTTTCTGAAGGGATATAAAAACACTGTGTTGAAGCCTTTCATGTTGGGATCTAATACAACCTAATGCAACTGAATCATTGATTCAGTTGCATAGCTATGAGTAGTGTTACAGAGGAGGCAGGAATGCAGCAGAAGCAGGAAGGGGTGTAGCAGACTCAGATTTGTTACTTTACACCATTATGAGCTGTAAATTAAGTCTGCACTACAAAAAAAAAAAAAAAATTGTTGCTTTTAATCTAGGTTTAACTACACCCTAGCCTAGTGCACTGCACGGCCATACGTGTTTATATTGCATAAAGGAAGAACAGATGACCAGGGATGAAAAATAACAACTTTCAAATGTAGTGCAAGTTTATGCTGCTTTAGGTGTTTTGTGAAATTACTCTGCTAAAACTTGTTTTCACAACTGTTTTTAAGTGAATTAAGATTGACATGTTTCAGATAAGGGTTAATGCTTATGCTTACAACACATTCCTGTGTCCCCTCCTTCTTGCAGTATTAATTTACCAGCTGTTAAGAGTCAATCCAGCCTCCTGTGTAGTTGTAAGAAACACCAATGCAAACAGAAAAGGAGTGACAGAAGCGTGCTTTCAGGACAGGTAGGAGGGCAGGAATGAGGAGCCTTGTGGCAGAAAGGATCGTTGTTTGCCTCAGCCCTGAAGACCACACATCTACACTTAGCTTAAACAAGACAGAGTACTGTTCAGCAGAATCAGTTCCCTGATCTTGTACAAATGTCCAAGTTGCTCTACTGTACAAATGTAGGCATAATATGTGACAGTAGTAATAAGCATCCTGAAACATGAAGAAGATAGGACTGCCTCCCAGGGTAATAAGAGTTTAAATTCCATTACGGTTCACTAAAATAGATTGCACAGAACTGCTGAACTGGAGCAGTTCGCCACAAACATACAGACTACTGTCCAGTACACGTCTAACAAAATATGCCTTTAGGCTGACACTGCATGCTCCGAAACTTACTATCTTTTTAATAAATTAACTACTATAGTAGAAATGTAAACTTTCTTCTTGCAAATAGTGATTTTCTATAGTCATAAAATCAGATTAGACACTGTTACTGCTACAACTTAAAATAAGTAGTTTTGGTTACACAGAGTGGGTGAATATGAAAAAAATACATAATCAGAAGCTTCAGAATTTAAATGAAATCATATTATCTCTGTGGTTAAAAAGAAATTCTTGCTCTGAATTATTATCAAAGGGTGAGAAAGTCCTGTACACACAGTGTTGATAATTGTTTGAAAGAGTTTAAATTTCAAAGACTGAGGGTTCATTCCAATACGGGCTCCTAAAGGAGAAACAGAGGAATGAATATCCAGGATTGGAATCTAAATATCTTTTTTTTACTTATAAACAATTACATTCTTTTTGGAGATGGGAGCTGTGTTTCTGCGCATAGCAGAGACTCCAGTGTTGAATAGCTATGCTTTGTATTTTTTGTAATACATGAATTTTAGTACCACCTCCCTTCTAAGTACATTTAGTAAACATCCTCACTTTAAACACAGGATAGATGTCATCCCTTATTAACAGCAGGTACTGACTGCCTTCATGGAACACACAGATGGATGCACTAGTGATGTTTTCTATGTAAAACCTATTGGTTTTCACACACAGCTAGGAAGGAGAATTCAGTATTCTAGACAAAGGAGATAAGAATGATAGTTTGCAGATGGACACTCCAACATAATTCCCACTAGTGTCACTAAAGGAGGACTGGTAGAGAAAGGATAACTGTCTTTTCTGATTAAACTGGCATTTCAGTGTAAAGAATTCAAGGTTCTTTAGAAACAGCAAAATCAAGAACATTTTTTCATAGCTTTATTGGCTGAGCATTCGTGAAGAGATGTCTTACGTTCCAATTCTATTAAAAAATATCTGATCCATTATAGTTAATGATGAACACTAAATACACCCTCTCCTTGCAAGTATTTTACCACTAGTTTATAGAAGAAAAGTGGGCATTAATACTTTATTCCCTCAAGTATGTACAGTTACAGAAAATAGAAAAAATAGACAATTGTCTGCAGAGGATCAGAAGTGAATAAAGGTATCTTCCTGCTGTCCATGTTCATGTAGAGAGATTATTATACTTGATACCTTGCATATAAGTTTTTAATTTTAATCTTAACTTTACTCATGCCGTACAGGTGAACCGTGAGCCCGCAGTGTGGCACTCCCGACTCTACTTGGAAGACAGAACAATTAAAATGTAAATGTCATGGTATCTAGCTTGTTAGTATAGAAGGCCTTTATTGGATTTTGCTCCTAAATTCAACCACTATACAAATTTCTTATTTTAGAAGGAAAAAAATAACATACAACACATTTTTCAATTCTGAAACAATTTTCTTGGTGAATATTTATTAAGTTAATATTTATTTCAATTAGTAAATCTAAGATGTAATATGCTAGAGATTAGAAAAGTCCTGAATATTCTACAAAAGTCGCCTGATGCCTACATTTCTGTACTTATCACAAGCTATGAAAACAGACTTCAGAAAAGTCTATCCAGCAACTTCCATGAAAAAATGGCTTAGTAAGACATTCCCAGCATAACAAACTTCAAACAACTCTGGAACCTTTACGACTATATTCACAGTCATAGGTACATAATGGTAATTCACTAACCTACGCCCTTTTCAGTGCGTGTTTGCACCAGAGGTTATTAATCTGTACCTCACAGTCTGACCTGGAGATGCTGAACAAGTCATTGATGACACCACGCCCTGTCATGCTGTTAAAAAGAATTGCCATGCTTTAACTATATTAGCTTGCTGTGCTTTTAACTCACCAATCAACTCCTAAGCTTTCCATGACATCTTCATCTATGATGTCAACCTCTGACAAGTGAGTACTTAATAAATCTTAAGCTCTGTTGTTGGAAAAGAGAAAAGAAACTCTCCTTTCTACAGAGGCTGAGTGGCAGTGAGATAATCCTTACTCTATTCTGACATTTCGCACATTGACCCCAGGGAAATAATTCCTGTCTGCCTGTCCTCACTCAGAACTTTTGGAAAAAAACAGCCTTGGACTTCATCAAACAGTCTCAATGCTTCCTAGGGAGCCAGGAAAAGAACCTGTGGAATGGGTCAGAACTCAGTTAAATCTGTCTCCAACAGTACCACAGTGGCACACAGGCAGGGCAGCAACATGACAGCTTCCCAGATAGACCAGAGATCCACTACTGTTGGAGATCTCCACAGCGTAGAGAGGGGCACTCATGTTCTAGCAACAGGCCCAGTTCCAAAGGGAAGCTGTATTAGGTGATGTCCAGAGGCCCATGCAAGCAACATGAAACACAATCCAAAGGCAGTAGGTTTGCCTGTTTGCTATTGCTCAGTGATAGCAACACATGATTTAATATTCTGATGTTTAGAAAGTTAGAACTTGTGACCATAAAAGTTAAAATTGTATACATTCTAAGAAAACTTGAATTCCGATTAAAGTGATAGCTAGTTATGCTCCTAAGTAAAGACTCTTTTTAGAAACAAAATACATATATTTCTCAAGCCCTGTTGAAACCACAGACTAGACTAAATCAAGCATCTCTTACATATCAAGATATAAACAAACACATATAAGTACTAATGACTTGAATTTTGTACAGAGAAGAGGAAAAGTCCTCAAAAATTAATCCCTAAGCTCAGTCTATTCCGTATCTACAGAATGAAATTCAAACTAAATAACCTATAAAACACTCCTTGGATTTTTTTAGTCCTGCATTCTTCCCACTAAGGTGAAACAAGTTTTCATTTTACTAATATGAAGGAAGTTGTTTATGTACAGAACTTCTGTTCCATTTAAACTTCAAATGGAACAGAATATGCACTTTTTCACTTTTCTTAAGAGGGTGTTCTTACAGATAACGAATCAGTAGACCTCAAAAAGAAGAATGCTATAGCAAAACAAGGGAAATTATGTCTCACAGAAGAAATCAGAATGATATATATAATAACGATAATGGCTTAAAAAAAAAGTAAAAGAGAAAAAGCGTAAGTTAGTTAAAATATTGAATTGTGTCTAAATAAATGGAAATCCAGATCCAATTCAGGAGTTTCGTATCAATTCTTCACTCACATGGAGACCATTTGCATTCTACACTAGTTGAAGCTTTTATATTTGTTCCTTAAGTATGTTAAATGTAGACAAATAGCATAAAGCAATTTGAATGGCCTTGATCCCATTATTTTCACTCATTTACCTCTAATTTCATTAGAAAGTGGGTTATTAATGACGATGAAGTTTGCTGGTTCCATTCCTCTTAGCCTAAGAAATATCAGATGGAGAATTAGTTCCTCCACAGGCTAGCATTCTAATTCTGTGCAAATTAGTTTAGTTTAGTTTAAAATAGTTTAAAAATCACTATATTTTCCAGACCTTTGCCATCCTCTGTGACACGCGCATCAAACATATCCCACGCTGTGTCACTACGTGCAAGCAACTTACACTTAAAGTGCTGCTGTATCCTCTGGCAGCATTGTGCACAGCGCGAGGCGGGGAGCCCCGCACACGGCTCTGCGGGCTGACTGCTCACGCAGGGCCCGCACCGCGCAACGCAGGACCTCGCAGAAAGAAAGGCGCCTGCATTCCCACAGGCACGGGCTGTTACCTGGTGAGAACGTGAAACCTGCAAGCAGCCGTAGCAACCAGCAAACTCCAGATGCAGTTCCAGCATCCGCACCCCTGCCTGCCAGGCATCGCTCCCCCGCCCAGAGGACACGTTTGAGGACCGCTACGCTAGTCGCAAACGTACCACAGTGTTTTTCATCATGGCTTTGACAGTGAAGCCGTCAGAGACCTGCTGCTTGCTTTTCTTCACGTGTCCCAGCGGCTCCTGCTTCTGGGGCCGCCTGTTCCCCGAGGGCTTGGCGGGGCCGCAGCCCGCTTCCTCCACTACCATCTCCCCGCAGCGGGCGAGAATCGGCACGCGGACTGCAAAAGCACAAACAACAACGGCCGGGCCCGGTCAGCTACCAGAGCACCGAGCCGTCCCGCAGCCAGCGGCACCGCCGCGTTCGCCCTCTTCCCGCTCCTTCGAGCCGCCGCCCTCGCCCCCCGGCTCTTCCCACCGTCCCCGCAGTCCCCATTTCTCTGCCGGTCGCCCCGGGCGCTCCCCCTCACCCCTGTGCCACCGGCCGGGCCGCGCGCCCGTCGCTAAGCAACGCGTCAACAACCGCCGCGCTGCCGGGCGGGGAGGAACCCCAAAGGCAGCGAAACGAACGGCGCGCGGGAAACCGGCGGGACACAGCAGTTAGCAGAAATCAGTTACACGTGATCGTGCTCGTGCTTGTGCTCGCGAGCGTGTGCGTGTGCCTGTGCGTGTGTCCACATGGGGAAAGCCGGCAGGCACGTGAGGCGATGTGAAAACCCGAGAACTACGTTACCCAGAGGGCCCCGCGGCGCACGCGCAGTTCGCTGCCGGCTGCACTTCCTCCCCCGACCGCTCGCGTCGGATGGCTGCTCGGGTTCGGACTGCTCCAACAGCGGGCTTAGGAGCGTGCGCGCGCCCCCTCTTCTCCTCCTCTCTCGGCCGCCATGATAGGTGAGTGAGCGCGCTCCCCTGCCCAGAGCCCGGATGCTGATCCGCCCTTTCCTGCCCGCATCGCTGCTGCTGCGGCAGCCGTGTCGGCTCCACGGGGGTGACGTGGGTTGGCTTCTTACAGACGAGTCCGCTTTGGTGGGTGGGTGCCCGCTGTCAGCGGTGTGGGAGCGGTCAGGGCACGGGGTCACGGCGTCACGGCGCGGGCAGGCGGGCAGGCAGCGCTGCCCTCGTCCAGCCCTCTGCTGAGGCGAGCCCAGTGGCAGCGCGTACAGGGCCTGCAGCCAGAGTCGTTTTAAATTGTTACTTCTCTCCGCTATATATGATTCACGAACCTGCCTGGCCGTGACGCGTTTTTGGCCTGACATGGTGCTTGCTGGCAGCGATGTGCAAAAGAAGCGAGTTAGTGCTCGTGCGGGCTGGGTGCTTCGACGTTTGGTCCTTAAGGGGCTCCGCAGCTGCCTGCTGCTGCTGCTGCTGCTGCACTTGGCGCTGCCGCGGATCTGTCCGCGTCCGGCCGCGCGGTGCCTTGCTGCGGTCCGCTTCCTTAGGCGCCTCAGCCTCGCTGTTCGCCCTTGTTGTCTGCAAAGAATGACGTGACAACATGCTTTGCTTAAGGATAGCGCAGGAGATCACGTAGTCCACGGTATCAGTGTTAATGTTATCTCTGCTGATTTGTTGCCTTGGTATGGTATATAAAATCTGTGCTTACGGAACTGCAGAATTTGATTTTTCAGAACTTTGAGGTAACGGTTGTGGTTACGAAGTTCACACCTTCAGCTTCACAGCGAAAGGTTGCTGTTTGTTTAGTGTACATGCAGGCACTCTTTACGTGTCTGAGGAGTTGTTACTTTTGCTGTGGCAGACAAATGTTTCTGACTATTGGTCGTGAACAGTATTCCCCAGCTAGCTGCAAATTTATAAATTCTGCCTTATGTGAGTTGCTGCTTTAAGTGATTTAAGCAGCAACTTTTTGTTTTATTGAAGAATGTAAAAACACGCACAAAGCTTCTGACACTCCCCAAAAAGCTTTGTAGTAGCTTTCAAAGTATGTGGTGTAGTGGTGTACTCCAACATCCTGCCCTCTGAAAAGTTTCCTCAACACACTTAAGAGTTAGGAATACTATGGCAAATTTGGGACTAGGAAGGAAAGGGGGAAGCACTGTAATCTGTGCCAACACTTCTTTAATCTGAATGCTTAAAGAATTACATTATGAGATATATATTTTCCAAAATGTGTTATTCTTGTAACTCTGGGAATGCTTGATGTCCACAGTGAGTTCTTGTGGCAAGACAGGACAGTTGTGCAATACATGGCAGTTAATTCCTTTAATTGATTTTTAATTTCCTATCTCTTGCTTTCATTTAATGCCACTTTGCAGTTGTGCTATGACATATGGAGAACAAGCCTGATTACCATGTTAGTCTTCCTGTTTTAATTGTTCTATAATATTTTTTCATGTCCAGTTGTTTCTTATTTTTTCTTTCACTGGTGAAACAGGTGAACATTTAAATTTCTTCTACTCTTAGTCTCTCTCTTTCCTTTCTTTTTTTCCCCCTATGAAGTTTTTTCAAGGATTTTTGTCAAGGAAGGTTTTCTTGTTTTTGGGTTTTTTTTTTTTTCTATAACATATCATTCCAGAAGAGGCTAAACCATTGACTTACATCACTGACTCTTAATAGTGTCCATATGACTTCTCCTCCTGCTTGATATTGCATTCTCTTGTCAAGGTTTGCACAGAAAGATTTGCTTACAGATAGATTTTTAAATGCTAGTAGCATCTTACTTGTAAAACAAATACTAATCATATATTTAAATTAAATATATAATAATATAATTAAAACGTGCTTATTTTTAGTAGGAGATTATTCCTTGGGAGAGGCCTTCAAAATAAGCATATGTATTTATTTTCATCTATGTGACACCTGCATTTGGAATATCGTATCAGCAAGTTGATGATGTAGCTGTCCACTTGTGCAGAAAATCCTGGGTTGAATCTATTTCTTAGGGCTGTGGCATGCATGGCACTGCATTGAGCTCATGAGTGCTTCAGGAATTTTAGTTATTCAGTACATCTTTAGAAGATGGTGAAGATAAATGCCAAAGGCAGCTCTTTCTTTTATGACTGCTTTTAGAAGATTGTTTGTTTTGTAATGTTTTACCTTTTCGGTGAGGTTGCAAGAATAATTCAACTGTCATTTCACTTCTGCGTGTGTTACTTTATAAGTTACAATCAATTTATGCTCCTTGCTGATGGGTTATGCAGTTAAAACTTCAGGAAACTTACAGATGTGTGTTTAGTATTTTTTATTAATGAAAATGATCTAATTGTATAAATGAGAAACACTGGAATAAACAGTTACTCATTTTGAATAGAGAGTATTATATGTGTGTTCTCTGACTGATGGAAGATGGCAATCTCCATGTGCTACTTACTGCTGCAGAGCCAAATGTGTGTTCCCTTTCTATATTTGCAGCAGTGGTTCAAGTTACATGAGCAGAATGTCTGCTACTTGAGAGGTGTTGTGCTTTGTTGTCTTCTGTCAGCAAGCTTAAGCTTGCTATAAATGAAAGTGTTTCTGTGGGCAGCTTTTCTCTTACCACTTACCTTAAGCTCAAGTGATTTCAAGTCCTATTTCAAAATTAGTGTCTTTTTTGTTTTTTCACTTTGCTTCTTCTTTGATTTTATTTATTTATTTATTTTTTCCCTCTGTGTGCGCGTTTGCTCAATGGCTCTTTATGCTTCAGTGGAAACAGTGGAAATACCAATGTGTTGAAGAATTCAAAGTTTTAAAGCAGTGAAGCTAAGAACGTTTAGAAATCATGAGTTTAATGTTAAATTGTGTCCAATGAGAAGAAAACTTATCAGCCTGGAATCCTGATGAATGCAAGCTGGAATTGCCACCACCGCTTTCCTCTCTTTTCTGTAGTGCCAGGCTGGCTAATGCTTTGAGAGGGCATTTTCATGGTTTACAGCTGATGTGGGGATAGAGTCTGCTGGTGATTTCTTGTATTGACTTTTTTCCTGGATGGAAAAAAGTGGATGAGAACAACTTTACTGAAAGACTGATTTGCAGCTATTGGGTGCCCTAGACAGCAGTAACCGTTCTGATACATAGAGATTTCTCTTCTATGTGGTGGATATTCTTTTTTCTTGTTCTTTGAATGAGTAGATAAAGAGAACAGCAGAAATAAAAAATACACCTACCTTTTAACCACCATGTCTGTCAAAATGTGGCTGGTACTGTCACTTAAAATTGTTGCCTAAGTAATCCCATTAAAGCCTAATCCCAGGAAGAAGTCTTGGAGGACAACGTAAGTCAAAATCTCCTCCACAAAAATAAGAACCAACTGCGGGTTTTGTTTTTGGTTTTTTTTTTTTTTTAATTGTAAAAAAATAAAAATAAAATAAAACTGTAATTTACTGCATACCATGATATACAGTGCTCTGTCAAAATGTTGGAGAGCTTTTGTGAGGACAGAAAGAATATTGAATTGGGCCTTGGGTATTCTAGAAATCTGTTCCACAGTGAGTTTGCAGCTGGCTTGCATACAAGTTATTCTTATCTTGGAATGGTTGTTGAAAATAATTTTAAGGAAAATAATGTTAAGTAATAATGTAGTCATGATGAGGTGTGAATGTTGTATTTAAATATGTTGACTGTGTTGTTGTAAACTAGGAACTAATGGAATTGATAACATGCTTCATGATTAAGATCATATGAAAGAACTTAGTTGACTGAAATCATTAGTTCTTCATTGGCTAGTTCTAGGTTTCTTAATTTTCTTCACTGCTGAAAAGAAGTCATTTCTTCTGGAAAGAAAATATAAGAAAGAAAGAAAATATATTTATTTGCTTGAAAAGATAAAATAAAAATGGTCACTTAAATATGAGGATCCTATCAACCCTCTGGGCCACTCTGAGTAAGCATTGAAGACTATGGGATTAATCAGAAGGAAAATACACTAGTGTTATTTTTGAAGATGATGGAAGAAATTTTGTGTGGATTGATAAGAACTAAACAAAGACTTCCTGACAATGTTCTGTTTTTTAAGTGCTCACAAAATAAGCACTTATTTTATTATATTATTACAGTATTATCACATATATACGTTATTACAGTAATGTAATATCTTACGCATTAAAATATTACACATTAAGACTAGTAAAGCAGTGGCTACAGATGTTCCAATGCAGTTTTCTGAGTCTTTTAGCTAAGACCCTAAAGACACAATTTCAAGTTATAGTGATCAGGATCTCTACCCTTCTGTGCATTATCTGGTTGCTAGTAATATATATGAAAATAGAATTATGGGTGGGTAGATATGAATGTGTGTTGTGTTATGCTAAATGTTAGTTGTAGGAGAGTCATGGGACTTCTCATGTAGTCAAATTAAAGGTGATTAAAGGAATGGTTCCCATTTCTTTTTCCTTTGCTCTTCTCTCGCAGGCTCTGCTGCTATCCGCACATCCTGCCTCACTCCTCTCACTGACATAATGGTAACTTGACTCTTGAACTAATTAAACTTATTATTGTACCAAAAAGTCCGTTTTTGCTGAATTTCATTCTTACAGAAGTGCCTGGTGACAACCAAAGTCAGCTTAAGATAAGTGAGATGTACAGGAGATAGCAAAAATGGGACAAAACAGTTTGATCTATGTAGTTCTTGTGTATCTTCACCCTCCATTATTGTGAAGTATGCTCAGCTTCT